ACGACAGCTCTTTCAAGTTTGTTTTAATTTTTTAGCAATTTTTCGGAAACTAGGAAATCAGGCTTTCTGAAAGTATGTAGAGAATGTAAAGAATCTGTTTTAAAAGTTTGATTCAATAAAAATAATTCAAAAAGTTTGATTCGAAAAACTGTTTTTAAGGAAATTTTAATCTTAATATGCTTTTGATTATTTCCTGCTTTGTATAAAGAAAAAAATAGTGTTTGCTTCTAGAACCAATAGAGAGGCCAGTGCACATTGCCCAAAAATAGCAACTAACTTTAAGTGTGTCATTGTAACTTTAAGATTAAGTGTGTCATTGAGGCGACTTATTTGTATCGCTACTCGATTGATAATGTTGATGGTTTCGAAGATTAGTCCCATATGGTATAGACAACTAGACAACTCAAAGTTCAAGCAGAAAGTTTGGAAGATTTTATTGCTGAAAGAAAAGTTGTATGTAGATAATGCAGTTTTTGTTGATAATGCTAGCATCGTGTATTGTTTGCATTTCATGCACTATTTCCAGTCAGTCAACAGTTAAAGGGCGACAATAGGCACTGTGTTGCATTTAAGATTGAGAAAACTTCGAAAATTAGTCTTACTTTGCCGATTGGCTACATAACATTGCTAATATTATTAATATCCAACCAATGTTAATTTAAATGGCCTTAGAATTGCATCTGGAAATTTCCGAAGCAAGCCCAAAGCTTTTCTACGTTTAATTCAGTTCTTTGTATTTCAAGGTTTCTCCAAATTTGAAATCAAGAAAGTAATGCAACGACTTTGTAAAATTCAGAATTATTTCTAAATCTATAAACCATATTTTTCACGTCAAACTGGCGTCCGGACTATATTTCATGTGTTCGCTAAATATATGTCAATTTAAGAAACCCTAGCTACAACTGTCATTATGATTATATGATCGTGTACTCTTCAAATTCAGCGTTAATTAGTATCTTGGTGGAACACCACGCCATGGTTTCATGCGAGTATGATAGACTTTATGCTGTCTGCGAACAGAAATTCTCCTTCAGGTGCTGAAGACGAACAACCCATTTTCTCAGTTAAAAAGTCTACCTAATTTTCGACACAGTCGCTCGGATAGCTACCCGCAAACTTTTAATTTGATGTGAAGCTTAAAACGCAGCTGCTTTAGCGTGTGCAGAATGGCAGAGAATAGCGTATTGTCAAATCAGTGCTGACTCAAAGCTTAAAGAAAATATTCTTTAGGTATAAAGTTAAGGGCTTTCCTAATTACGCTAGAAACAGAGATTTAAAACTTATTGTTTCACTCACCCAAGATGCATATTGTCTGCTGATGACAAACTTACAAAGATGTAATAACAATTAGAAAGTGCTTTATTTTTATTACGAATGTAGCTTGGACTCCAAAGGCTTGGACATACAGTGTTTATGTACTTGTGAGATGTTCTGATTGATTTGGTGGTGTTAGTGTACATAGATACGGGGGGCAGGGAGTTTTGGCCCCCCAAAAGCTTAAGTGACATAAATGAAATACTTTTTCTTTGTAAAATATAGCTGTCGTTACACTTATTTATCAGGGCTGCCCCCCCTCCCTCAAACGAAAAGTTGCATCTCGTTATTTGGGTAGTGGTGCTTGAGACCTACTTATTTAGATTTACTGTTCTTTAGACCTACATCCGTGATTAATTTTACATGCATCAGGTGTTTTCTGGGACAATATTTGACGTTTTCATACAGAGTTGTCGGAAATATCAGTAAAAATCCTTTACGATTTGAATCAATGACAAAATTTCGAAAATCAAAGAAATTTGAAGAAAGCACCGTAAATATGTCTCTGTGGACCATAGTCTACTTAAAAAGCAATGAGAATGTTACAAATTTTGTTCATAAGGTCTATGAAATCCATGGAAGGCGTTTGTCCTGAAAAACGAAAAACTTTGAGTATGCAAGTAACAAGTAACAAGAGTATGTAAGGTAAAAAGCTCAAGGTCTTTGGCTCTTTGAGCGAATACGAAATGTAAGGATGTTTTCAATAAGACTCGCATCGAAAACAAAAATGTAAAGTCAAAAACTGTATTCAGTAAGAATATTGTCGCATGTGCACTTTCACTTCTATTTTAACATATAGAATTCCAGTTTGTTTAAAATTCAGAATTTGGGTGGTCATATTTAAACAACCTTTTTCAAATTCTGTAAATTAACTACTTCAAAAACTATAGAGTGGGCATGGTCCTATTAACTGAGTCGCCAGTAAATTTTGAAAATATCTTAATCAAGCTAATAAAGGAATGAAAAAGTATTATTAGTAATTAACTATTTATTGGAGATGAATTTTTCTAAGATTCTCGTATTTTCTTTGATCTAATCTCAATGATGCTCTAGCTGTCCAGATTGCCGCATCAATTATTTTCCAATCAAAAGGTACTAAGGGCCTGCCGAAAAATTCTACAACTGCTATAAGAAATGTCTTTAAATAATTAAACTTGCTGCAGAAATTTAAATTGCTTTGATTCAGCAGTCTCTGAAAAACATTCATACTTGCACAAATGATAGCAGGTATCTACGACTTTGAGTTGCCACAGATAGTATTGGACTGAGTAATGAGCCTTGGGTAACAACCTGTTTGGCGGTATATGGCAGCTTAAACCCTTTTAGAGATATCGAAATCTAAATTCATTTGGTGACGGAAACTGATGGCCTGATTAACCTTAAGGAATAGATCAAGAAATATAACATTGAGAGCCTGCTGTTTTGGGCGTTTCAAAGACATATTTTTAAAACCTAATCTAACCACAAGTGTGTTAATTCGCTTTTAATTTCTTTCAGAAGAAACAGAAATTACGCGTTCCTAAATCCACAAATCATGGTCTATATAATTGTCCAAGCTTGTAATTATGTTTAACTGTTCTTTCAGCTTAATTCTTTGCTCCTTATGGGTAATTTATTCAATGTTCACACCATCTAGTCGGTAGCGTAGTTAGGGGGGAGGAAGATGGGACCGGCGCCCTCAATGGAAAAGAGTGTCTTGGAAAAGTGCGTTATCTGGCGTTCCAAAGGGGGTCGACCTCTTTTTTTGCTTCGTTCAACTCGTCTTTGCCCCGCTCCTATCTTACCACCCTGACTACGCTACTGCATCTAGAAAATAAAAAAATACCTGTAATAAAATTATAAATTACAGAAGTGGAAAATGTAGGGTGTGGTGGAGCAAGAGATCCACCAATTAAAGATTTTGGAAAAATTTAAGATTTTGTCTTTGAAAGTAAAGGTAGGATTTGGGTTACTTCTGTGTCCAAAAAAGGTGGAATATGGACTTGAGGACTAAATTGGGTTAATCAATGAGAAAAACATGTCTTTGTGGCAGGCATCGCTTGGTTCTTTCGATCCTCTGACGTCATTTTCCTTTTATCCTCTGACGTCATATTATTACTTATTGCAGGCGAAAATATCTTGTCAGTTGACTTGAAATCATGATTCCCCTAGGCCAAATATCAATTTCTGATACATTAAAAATATGCATGATAAAGCTCTATAGTTTCCTACATTGTCAACTTTGCAAAAAATTGTTTAGTATCAAGCCAAGTAAGTTTACATGATGAAACCCCGAATATATTGGGTGATGTCCAAGAAACCATCATACATGGCCATACACCATTACCGTAAATTCTTGAATTGGCCCCCTCTCGAAAAGCCCCCCCCCTTAGAATAAGCCCCACTGCTTCTGTAAATCCTCTAATTGACCCCTCCATTTGATGATTTTTGCCATCTGAGGTTGCCTATGGCGTTTTACTAAATTAACAAAACAAATTCATACTTTAGGTAATAATCAGTTAAATGCCCATAAATAAATTTTTAATGTCTTCAATAATATTATAAGCCCCTCTCGTATAAGCCCCCCTTCCCCTCGAATAAGCCTCTATCCAAAAATATCGAAAAATAAGTAGGCCCCCAGGGGGCTGATTCGAGGATTTACGGTATATACAGTAGAACAAAATGCCTTAATAGAAAGCGTTGGCAAGCAAAACACCGTCACATATAGCACATTGAAACATCATAGTATAGTAACTGTGCTTTGGTGACGTTCAAGAACTGTCATACGTGGTCATGCACCCAAGCCCGGTTTCAGGAAATTTTTCTAGGGAGGGGGGATGTGCAAGTTTTTATCTACTGAGTACATTTTGGCAGCATTACACTACGCTAATGCAATCAGAATATTTTAGCATTGTTAATATTTAAATTTCAGCTATTCCAAAGCAACTTCAGCTGTAAAACTATTAGTTTTATGAAAGTTCTAAAATAAGCTTTTGTGGTCACGTAGTTTATTAAACTTTCAAAAACACTGAAAGTAATGTAATGAGTTCACAGTTTGAATCAACAGATATTTGCTGTTCAATGAAAATCAATATGTTTCTGGCCTTGTTGACATAAGCCTAACTATTTTCAAAGTTTCACTGTTTGATTTGAACGCCTGTTAAGAAGTAATTTGTCTGCATCTCACTAACTAATAAATTGAAATCCAAAAGGGTATGATTAGAATATTTTGCTGATGAGACTTTCACGGAAGGTGGTCGGGAGGGGGTGAAAAATATAGCTGGCACGTGCCTCCCCTTTCAATTTGTGTAAGTGTGTTTAATCGAGCAATCTGCAAAACTGAATCGATCGAGGGTTTACAATTTTCCAATGTGAAACTGGCGATTTTAAGGTGCAATTCTCGCAGAATTGTGATTTGCTTGGAAAAAATTGAACTTAGCACAACTTTACTGATGTTTGTGACTATTAGCCCCCCATCGCACCTATTATTGATATATTTATCTTACAGTATATAATATACAGCAAATTCTTCTAAAGTAATTGGGGGATGTTCTACGCAACATAAACTTGCAATTCAGTGTTTTACGGCAAATAGGCTGTTTATTTCCTTTGTTGATCATTTTGGAATATTAAACTGTTTTAACAAGACCCGACCCCCCGAAAATTCATTTTAAACCACAGCGATCATGAATGTTTTTCGCTGAATTCATTGTTCGCGTATTGTTTTCTTGATTCATACACTTTCAGATACGTAAGTAGGTTATTCCTTCGTGGAGGAAGATCATAGCTTGTTCTATATATATTTTTGCTTCAATACGACAATCTCAACTGCAGCAAAGATACCATCACGCGGAGTCTGACGCTGAGTTTCATAGCTACTTTGCTCGTCAATGCTCGTAATAAATCGACAACGTTTAGTCAAGCGTTTTAAATATATAATTCTGCTTGACTTTACGCACTCACAGAGACGGGGAACATAAAACAATTCGCAGAATTACCAACTTAAAGCTCCTGCCAGTCAAGAACACCAGTCACTTATATCGCATTAATGACTTAGATTTGCTAACAAGCTAAAACTCAAGCTACCTACAGATGGTTGACAGTTTCAGTACATATATAGCAGCAGATCAAGGGTCTTGTTAAACCCAGCTATGGTACAGGATTGAGCATCAAAGGCTCTCTGAAGTTTCTTTGCATTGGCTCTCTGAAGTTTCTTTAAAGCAGGAATTGCACAGTTGAGGCAAGATAGGCTCTAGAAAACATGAAGATGAAATTGAGAAATACTATATTTGTATTTCTTAGCATCTTCTTTGGAGGTGATAGGGTGCAAACGAAGCGTTTTACCGAAGACGACGGGTGCGCATCGCGAATGGAAATGACAGATATATTTCGAGAGGAAGGGGCATGTAACATGTGGACATATAAGTATAAGATGTGCAAACACAACTTTGAAGTGACATATGTGGAAGCATATCCATATGTTTTCCTTGATAATACCACTGTCCGTGGAATTCTTCCAGGTAAGTGAAGTTAACCCGCTGTTTTACTGCTCCTTTGTACACCAGCCCAGGACACGACCAATGTTAAATGCTTCTAGCATCTTCTTACTCGAATTCTTCTTGAAACGAGGAAAATGTTTTTGATTTTCAAAATTATCCCAGTTTAAGTGAACTTCTAATGACTATAGGAAAAAAATTTTCCTTTTAAAGATTTGAGCACCGGACATTATAACCCGGAAACTATTATGCGGAAATTTCAATTGGGACATCAACCTCTCACGCTCTGCGCACGATCTTCGTGTTGCTGTAATTGAGAGTTAAGCAAAGATGTTATCATAGAAAAACAGCAAGGTTTCCTGCAGGCCTTCAGATTGAATGCGTACAGTGTTTTCAGCAATCAAAGTATGATTTTTGCCAGAATAGATTCTTAAGTTTGAAGGTTTTTAAAAAGTTTCTTCAAATTCACAAAAGCCCGGTAGAATTTCTTTTCAAATGCACCTATCAATTTTCTAGATGCTATATTTACATATTTTCAGGTACAAAACCAAAGGTTCAATTTCTTTTGCCGTCAGAAGCTAAGTTTTGATAGCCAATGCATTTTCTTGTAAACTCATTAAATTTTTTTTCTGATAGACAATTATTCAATTTGTCAGCTGATGTTTATGTCACATGTACTGGGTGCATATTTCTAAAAGCCTCTCTGTCCCCTCAAACCGATCCATTTTTGTGATATTTTACAGACTTCTTGAATCTGTAATATTCTTTCGCTGCTAAATTCTGAAGTAAGCTCGAAGTGCAAAAAATAGATTGTAACAACAGTCGAAATATTGTTTGAAGAAGACGCCATGAAAAATTTCCACAGAACCACTTATTCAAATGCTGACACAGCTCTTATTATTGTAATATGCGGATTTTAATTTTAGCTGCTCTCTTCAGATCACCTGCGATAAATTTTCAGTGAAACTTAGTTTTGCATTTTCCTTTATTGACGAACGCTAAGTAAAGTACACTTTCTAACTTTCATCTTATCAATCCTCTATAGCTTGGCTTATCTAGATTTGTGCTACCATAACTAATAAATCTTTGTTAAATTACCACATCTGTCATTAAAACCATAAAGCCTCCCTTGTAAGACCCCCTTGTAACACACCCCCCCCCCCCCTTACACGGATCGAAACAGATATGTTTTTATCAACGAGGACATGTAAACTTCCTTTTCTATTGGGCTTGCTAGATCCGTTTCAAATAGAACTGCCATCCTTAACCACGAGAACAGTAAAAAAGGAAAAATAGAAATAGAAAAACCAAATTTCTCAAATGAAAACCAGATGCAGCACAACCCCCAGTTCGTAGTATGGCCTCGCTTCCAGCATTTAAAATCAAGATGCTTTCAGCTTTCTGGGAAAGCAGTTAAAGGAAACGTTCAAGCTTGGCCTCAGTGCCAAAGCAAACTGATTTAGGTCGTTAAATCCAACAAATTTTTTTTGGGGTCGGGATCCAAAGTTGTGAAAAATGTGTAACCAGGAACTACATACAAGCGGTTTGCGACACAAGGTATTTCTTTCTTACCACTTTACGCAGGAAATTTATATTTTGGAAATCAGGATCAAACAATCAAGGATAAGATAGTAAGCCCTTGGTACCGCAAAATTATAAAAAATAGCACAGCTGAACAAACTCCTCCTCAACATAATACAATTTCCAGTGGCTTATACCTAGCGTACACTAGCGATTTTTGTCGCAAGCGACGGCGATTTTTGTCGCGAGCGACGGCGATTTTTGTCGTCAGCGACGGCGTTTTTTGTCGCAGGCGACTAAAATCGCTAGTCTGCGGGGGTTAACATTTAAATTTTCTTCTGGCATTGGGAGAAATATTCTACAACGGAAAAATACAACATTGCTCAATGAATCAGATAGCGCCGTTTGGTTGTATATTCCGGAAGCACATTATGGTAGCATTTTGACCTATATTTGTTATTGCATTTAAAGGTGCAACAGTTATATTATGGCTGTGCGGTGGCCATCTTGTTAAAATATCAAAGTTTGACATTGTACTACAGACTTTGCATTTCGAAATATTTTTAATCAAATGATCAATGTCTGAATCTAATCTTAATGCCAATCTGCATATTAAAGCGTTTCCAGTAACAAAACTCTTCTCAACTTGTGGTTGGCATTAGTCTATGTCAGATAACATTAATCATGAGGATTTTACGTCAGTAGAAGAGGGAATTTCACACACTTATCGTTAAATGTTTTTTCGATGACATGTGTAGTCACAAATTCTTCTGATTTCGCTCCATAAATTCCCAACTGAAATTCAGCGTTCATAACAAGTTATTATCGCCAGAAATCAAACCAAAGTATAAGGACAAAATGAGCATGTAAGGGGTAGATATACTATTTTTTATTTATTGCTGTCAGTGGCGAGTTGGAGTATACAAAAAGAGTACATATCTTGCTACAGCGCAATGTGCTGTGCCGCGTGAGCCTCGATGCGGAGAGGAGGCGAAGAAGAGTTAGCCTTTGTTGTTCTGTTATGGTCGCGAAAACAGGATATCTAACTAATTGATAAGACCATGGCCCTGAATGTGATTTATCGCTTTAATTGACTCAAGTAACTCTCTGATAGGCTTACGTCCCGGTGCGCCTTTCAAAAATGTAAGGGATATGGATGGAGCCTCTCTTGTGAAAAATTTACGTAATAATTTGAATGAAGTTGGTACTGAAAAGGGAGCTTATTCGAGAGGTTGGCTTATTTATGAATGGCGGGGAGGGGCTTATTCCATTATAACAGGCAGAATATAGTTTTAAAAAAAGACGTTTTTTCAAACAGAATCTGAAATAGCGAGCTATTAAGTCAACCTATATGAAATTACGTGCTTTAATGCACACGAAGTTTTATTGAAATTGCTGATGTTTTCCAACATTGAAAGTTTATAAAGTGGGTCCAGTGCAATATTCTTTGCTAAAATAAGGGCTTATTCAAGAGGAGAGCTTATTGCAAGGATTTTCTGGACAATTGTAGTTCTTTCAAAGTTTTTCCTTGTTAAAATGGCACACCTTGACTCTTTCTTTTCCATGAATCTCTCGTCTTTATCTGTTTCTCGCCAACTTAATTTTTTTACTGGGTACATTTACCTTGTGGCTGGTTGTCTTGCTTGCAGTAACGTGAATGTTACGCTGAAAACATTTATACATCTATTGAAAGCCAGCTAATGAAAAGGATTTTCTTTGTCATACCATTATCCTATTGGAGGGATGGAGTCGGCGGGGACTTCTTGGGTTTCCTAGTAACACAGAGTAAGATCATGACTTTGAAAGCTAAGAAAAGAGACTTCACCAACATCTTCATCAATTGCCTTCAACACCCACACGCTTCCATTTTTCCTCTTAATCTCTTCTATCCGTCTTCTCCTGGGTCTTTCTTTGAGTCTCTTTCCTTGTCTTGATGTCCATTTTGTTACTCTCTTTGCCTATCTGCTGCTCTGCATGCTGGCCAGATGTCATGCTCACTTTCCCCTCATGCTTTCCTCTCATTGACCACTTCTATCATGTCTTTTATGTTGATTTTATCTCGTATTCTTTCATTTCTAACTTTTTCCTTTGTGATGATATTCAGCATTGATCGTTCAATACCTGGGCCACTGTCAGCTTCTCTCTTGATTTCAGGTGAGACTCCATGTTTCTGCACATTTTTGTTAACATGATCATGTCCATACTGTTTCCTTTCAAGCATTTTGGTATTATCTTGCTTTATGACCCAAAAAAGCTTTATAAATAACTCTAACGAATCAGGCATGAACAGCTGTAATCCGTCAGCAAACTTGAAATCTTCTATTGCCAATATCTTGCTCAGTTTTAAAAATATCTAATGATTTTGCATATTGAGAGGTATTTTATTTTTAAAATTTTAAAAAAGAGATTTCTGATTAAGGTTACGGTAAACGTTTGCTGGATGAAAACATCATTTTTTCGTTTTTTTCACATTCCAGTAGCCGAACTTTCAAGGCACACAATGACACCAAATTTGAAACAAACAGACATTTTGAAAGTGGAAAAAATCCCATGTAAACGAAGGTTTCCATAATTTCTTTATCAAAACTTTTAGTTGAGGCCTGAAAATCTCTTGACCTTTTAAGCCGATTATCGTTGCTTTGCGGTTGTAGTCGCATGTCTCATTTACAATATCGCATGGCACATCCATATACCCAATGTACGGCCGTGTTTATTTAAACACGCTTATTGATCTTAAATCTTCAAGTGACTTGACCCGGATTACACTGTGGTTTACGAGTGTATCTTGCAAGTGCGATCAGTAAAATCCCGTTTTCTCCGGACTCGAAATTCCTCTACATGCAGGTACGAAAAAGCTATTATGTACCCAAGGAACCAATCGAATGGCTCGAAAATTTGCACACGGCCAGGGCAGACGTTGGGCAAACAAAGTGTGTCTCAAAATTTTTTTATTTTCTCTGGTCCGTCTTTTATACCCAAATACAGCTGCGGGAGGGTGGAACAATTATTTGCCAATTTTTGACAGGGCATAGTTTCAAGAAGAGGAGGAATTTAAAAAATCTGAGACACACTTTGGTAGCTTAGGACCTGCACTTCCTGCTGGTCTAAGTCAGATTCTGTTACCTCAAACGCAAGGGTACATAATAGCTTTTGAAGGTGGTACACTTTTTGACCAGTAAATTCGCATGGAAAATAACATTTAACATTATTTGCCAATACTTTTTATCTGGCTAGATACGCCATAATCTTGTGCATCGAATGATATATAGTTTATCCAGATTCCTTGAGCCGTTTGGCCTTTAGGAAGAAAAAACCAATTTTCGTGTTCAAAACGTTTACCGTAACCTTAAGTAACACTTCGGTACTCTATGAAAAGTGACCGTTTTATGTAAATCTTTACTTTAATCAATCTATTTTGTCTGAATCTCGTTCATTTTGGGTATTGTAATTTAACAGGCGGGGAAAAATGTGTTTCATGATCTTTCATGGATATGAAATGTTTG